TGTACGTGAGCCGTCTACGTGTGCTTGTGCGTGCGCGGGCGCGGGCGTGTGTGTGCGTGCGTGCGTGCGTGCGTGCGTGCGTGCGTGCGTGCGTGCGTGCGTGCGTGCGTGCGTGCGTGCGTGCGTGCCTGTGTATGTGGATGTGCTCTCTTTATTCAATCATATTAAGTCCTAGTGTCGGTGACTGGATAATAAGTGCTGTCGCTGTTCCTATTGGATGTTACCAAAACCCGATGGCTTGCATCTCAGGCACGTTGTCACCTGGACAGCCTGTATCGGTGCTAATGTGCTTTGGATCTTCCCAAGTCTGCGGGAAGGCACCGTAATTGAAGAGCATGTCGCCCCACTTGTAGTCTCGGAGGACACCATTCTTCACATCCTGCTTGATGGGATTCATAATTTCTCCGGTGGCGATCTCGTACTTCTTTCTCGTCCACTTCGGGATTTCGCAAATGAAGTTGTAAGACTCATCTGAGTTTCTAAGCGGGACATCGTGCCACGGGGACAGGCGATGACCATCGCATTCAAACCAAACACGGAATCGTCGAGAACCGACGTCACCCTCCGTGACTGTCTGAATAGATGCGATCTTGGGATCCTGTAGCCGCGACTGAAGAACTTTGAAGCGCTGCCGGTACCTCTCCTGTGAATAGTACCTAAGGTGACGGCAACAATCGGCACGCTCGAAATCAGGCGTTCCTACGACCTATTGACAACCCGCCTAATGTAGTGACAATGTAGTGGAGCCACAGAAATGCATCACACAGGGGCGCTGGTGGTGTTCTGGTTTCGGCCGTGCCGCTGGTTAGAGTCTGCACTGCTGTCATGCAATTCGTTCCACCAAGAGATGAACTTGTCGAAGGCGACAACTTTCTCCCTTAGTGGCAAAACTCAGGCTGCCCATGAAAATCGCCTGGACTGGAAACGTTTAGAAGAGCGAAACGATCTTGTTTTGAGTCTTTGCATTCTTCTTCTGCTGAGGGCCTGCAGTCCCTCCGCCTGCACGCACTGCTTTTGAAGGGAGGAGCACACCCTTCCCCAGCAGCGAAGCTTGTCTGTTTCTGCTGCAGCACTCAATCGACAACAGTGGCCAAGTTCTAGTGTCTTTTACCTCTCGCTAGGAGGAGCCACGCTCGCCGAGTGGAGGCACGCCTCTCGGTCTGTCTTGGTGCAAGCGAAGGCCGCAAGTAAGCATGTGGTTTTGCTTGAGGTCGATCTTGTTGATGGCGCGCCCCTCATGTTTCAAAGTACAGGCACAAGGATGGTTACAGGATTGAGAAGAACTCGCCTTTGTATAACTTGTTTCCGACGCTTTCACCGATGACGTGGAATCATTGGGAATCATAGAAGAGTCTACCAGAGAGCAGATCAATCCGGCAACCCAGGAAAAGCTGTTGAGAGAGCTGCTAGGGGTGGGCTGACACGGACCCCACTTGTTCACAGGTTTCTGACACTTCTGTTGAGAAACAAGGCTAAGACCCCCCACAGATTTCTCATTGGGGGGGGGGGGGGGGGGATACTACAAATGTCTCCCATGGCCACACTTCCTCCAGCCCTAGACGTCGCGACCCTGCGCCAACAAAAAACAAATTCTGTGGTGGCTCGACGGCGATGATGCCATAAAGAAAGACATCATCCGCGCCGTCTCATCCTCATCTAGAGGCTCGCCCAGTAGGTTGTGCATTTTTGCGACATCATTGGCCTCGGTGGCCAGCATTCGGGAAGGACTACCTCGGTCTTCCAAGTGCAGATCGAGACGCAGATATCAGTTCGTCCGAAGGGGAAGTACAGAGACGATGAAAAACAGCCTTCATGGCGTTCAGCGCCTCCGCAGAGTCCTTGGATATTGTCCTGAGCACGCAGCACGCAAGGTCTTTTCAGAGGCAGGGCGAACACCATGTACAGGCCATGGGGCACACTGTCATCGGCAATCCCTGGGAAAGCTAGCAGATCTGCATCAGCCTCCCAATGCGACTCCAGTGCAACAGAAACACTCTGTCCTCGGATCATACAACCCCTTATCGGTCCCCTTATCTTACCCATATCCCCTTCCTTGTTTTACATGGAGCAAGCCTTCTGAGCTTGGTATTCCCCTCCTGAGCAACAGTTGCCCATGCTCCAAGGAGAGTCCTGGCGAATCTGCTACGAGCTTCGCTTCACAAAGGGCTTCTTGCATGACGAGTCCTCGGCAAAGAAGCCGAGGCTGAAAAAGTTTAAGCCAATGCTGTCACGGTGAACACATGAAAATGGCCCCAAATGGCGACTGAGTTTGGGCAGGCATGCACACACATCCGGCGCCTACCCACAGAGAGCAAAGAGCACCCAGGAGCGCAGATCTTTTTATTGCTAGATGCTCCCACCGCTGCTTTCGCGGAACATCAAGAAGTCCGCCAGTCTTCGCAAAGCAAGATGCTGGAAGGGTTATTCAAATTCTTTGGGAATGAAGTTCGGGCCTGGTCGGTCGGCGCCACAATGCGAGCACTTGAACCTGAAGCCACGGGTCATCTCTATCACATACCGTTTGACTCGCTGAAGACTGAGCCATGGGCTCGTAGCCACAAAGTGCCTCGGGAGAGTGGCGGCAAGTGCCCACAACGAGTGCGCCACGTAAGCCTGCACCAAGTTGCGGCTGCACAGCGCGTGCAGCCCCAGTCCCACTTGGACGGATAGGAGAAACTGTCCAGAACCTTGGAAGTGCAAAGCGCGCAATTGCATGCAGGAAGTTGGGACCAACCGCCAAACTGGGACACCACAACACAGCTCCCCACCTTCAGCGTGCCGGGAGTCGTCATGGGACTTCCCATCGAGCCAGCGGGTGCACAGCGCCAACCTCACCACTTCCGAACTAAAAGAGAGGAACAACAAGCTCGCTTCATGGCACTGCAAGGTGTGTAGGCCAAAGCCGAGCCGCAAAACCATCGATCTCTGCAATTTCTAGCTCGGCAATGGCCACAGAACCAATCGCCTCACTTCAGGAATCCCGTAAAACCGGATAACAAGATGCCAAGTGTCTGACGAGCACGCCTGGGCGTGGCAGCATTCCGGCACCCGGGCCGTAGAATAACTTCAACAACTGGCCTTAACTGGGCTTCAAGCATCCACCACATGGACTCCAAAGCGGAAGCAGACCCGAAAAATAACCTCTCGTAGCGGCTCACCTTTTCCTTTGCTCTCGCACCCACAGATCGCAGAACTCTCGGAAAACTGCCAGGAAAGTCCAAGCAGAACGCTCGGAAAATCCGGAACTTTCCTGACTCAGATGTAAAATAAGCAGTTGGTGGGGCATTCTAGCCCCAGAAACAAGAACGCATAGCCGAGCACTCGCCTGGTCTAGTCGTCGTCAGAGCCAAGTGCCAGTTCGGTATAGAGATTGTTGCCGCTGGCAATCTTCTTGACTTTACCTTTCTCATCCGCAGCGGCTAGCAGCTTTCGCCATGCGCCGTGGCACTCATCCTTGCGCACAGGCATGCCCAGCAGAATTGCAGAATTGAAGAAACCCTACATGCACAGATAGCCAAGCCAAGCTTCCACAACTTGTCGTGCGAACGCTGCACCCTGTGGCTTGCCGCCGCAGCCGAACTTGTTCTCCTTCTTGCCCTCTGCCGTCTTGTACCTTAAGGCGACTCCACTGGCGTGGCTTAAGGAGTTTAAACTGCAGTGTTCCGAAACAAAAACAAAATCCCAATTAGGGCAGTTCTCTTCAAAGTTCTCGGCTACTGGGCCCTCAAGTCGTTTGAGGTGAGTCGCATTCGGAGCCAGTCGGTGAGGGCCTGCGTGCAGCCGGGCATGTGCGCGTCGATGTCGTTCAGGTCATTCACGTTCCTCGCTCAGCACGTCTCTTGCACACACGGAATCCACACAAGACATGACCAAAAAATCTGCCGAGAAACTGCGACCTGTCATCGTCCATCGCAATTGTAAGCACCTTCCAGTCTGTCTCGTTATCATCAATCATTGCGATGACACCGAGGATCCTCATGGGCGCAACTGCTGTCTCCAAAATCTCTGTGAAAGTTAAGAGTACAACAAACCAAAGACCAAACAAAATGCTTCCAGGCAGTGGCTCTTCACACGAGTGATTGAACCGACAGGTCGTTGCCGAGTGCCAAGCTCAATCACGTCAATAGGATCCTCGGCGAGCGACTCCACTGCTACTAGACAGTCTTTTGCACAGCTCGCAGGCTGAGGGCAAAGCGTTGTCGCCTGGGAACCCAGTCTCCTCACTAACGTGCTTCGGATCTTCCCAAGTCTGCGGGAAGGCCCCGTAATTGAAGAGCATGTCGCCCCACTTGTAGTCTCGGAGGACACCATTCTTCACATCCTGCTTGATGGGATTCATGGTTTCTCCGGTGGCGATCTCGTACTTCTTTCTCGTCCACTTCGGGATTTCGCAAACGAAATTGTACGAGCCGTCCGGGTTTCGGAGAGGGATGTCGTGCCACGGGGACAAGCGCGTCCCATCACTTTCGAACCAAACGCGGAATCGTCGAGAGCCGACCTCCCCCTCTGTGACAGAGTTGATGGAAGCGATTGTCGGCTCTTTCAGGCGTGACTGGAGCACCTTGAAGCGCTGTCGATAACGCTCCTGTGAGTAGTACCTGACATCTCCAACAAAGCCTTGACTCTTCTGATGCAATTACAATTCGAATTGCTACGCTTGCACATGAACCAAAAATCACAAGGCATGCGTGATGCTTGTCCGGATCTGCGCCGACGTCATGTAGCTCATTCCACCATGCCATGAAGGAGTCGAAGCTAATGCACACCTTCCTAGGCTGCACTCACCGGGAATGGCTACCAGAACCTGTCCCGACATCACCACGCGGGTCTGCAAATGCTGCCAGATCCATCAGGTGCTACTATGCCAATGCGATCCCCTGTTTTCAGCCCCCTGAACTGTCAACGTGTTTCGGTGCTGTGGTTGCCCGGCTCTGGTGCAACTCTCCCCGAAACGCTGGCTGACATGTGGGTCAGGACATCGACACGCCTTCTGCTGGTTTGCTTGGTAGGTTGTGCAGAAGTTCAAAGCACGACATCGTGCCAGACAGTGTGTTTTCGGAGTGGACTTCGCATTCTCCCATCGCAGTCCGAAGCAGCTATGCCAGCGCCAGGTCGCAATTGCTTTTTTTCTGAGATCAGACTCACTCAAAGCCTAGTCTGTGTATGAGCCCCTGTAGATCGGAAAGCAAATCGCTTGTGACTGCTTGTGCAGGCGAACGGATACGGATGCCAGGTCAGGTAGTGGCGAGACGCATTTAAACTACATGCCCCTTTGCTAGCAAAGACGTCGGATCAATCACATGAATGGTTTACCCTTTTGCTGGATCATGGGTCGTTTTGGACTGCGTGTCAAAGAAGGTCATCATCTTCTTTTCGTCCTCGTCATCCATTGGCTCGCCCAGCAGGTTGTGCACCTTCATGACATCGTTGACCTCAGCAGCGGCTCGACTCACTCCAGTTAAAGCGTCGCGAAGGGTGTTTGCGTGGGAGTTGGTTTGGATGGCATGATATGGTGAGGTTGCATGGCATGACGTGAGGCTGTGAAATCTTCGGGAGAGGTTGGCCCTTAGGGTTTACGCGGCAGGGCAGGGCAGGGCAGGGCAGGGCAGGGCAGGGCAGGGCAAATGTGGCTGTGTGGTGCCGCGACGACCCGTGTTCGACATTGACCACCGATCCATAGCAAATTTCGAACACACTGGCTCCACTGCCGGTATGTCCGCGTCCTTGAGTAAGCACAATACATTGCAAACTCCAATACATTGGGCTTATGTTTGCCACGAAAAAAGGACAACCCTCTCGGTGTCCTCCGGTAGGTAGCAAACCCCAATACATTAGCCTCACGAACACGAACTTGCTAACTTCTCAGTGGTAGGTGCGAACCATTGCAAATTCGAAGACATTGGCGCCATTTTTCATCCGAAATCATAGCCCGCTCGCCGGCTGCTGCATGTGTGGTTCTGCATTGATATTAGCCTCGACATGCCTAAAGGCCTAAATCACTCATGTTGGTGATATCCCTGAGTCCTGCCCGTACATGGGGGGAAGAACGTTGGCCGTGATCCTGAATCATCTCACCAGGAAGTGCGTGGGAAACCTGTGGTGGGTAAGTCCCGATGCACCCGCCAGTACATGCGGTACGCATGTTGGCCGTGCTCCTGAATCGGTACGTGGAAGGAAACAGGAAGCACGTGGGTGAACATGAGGCGGGGACATTGTGGTCAAGTCTTCGAATCTCACCAGTACATGAGGCAAGCAAGTTGACCGCGCTCCTCAATTCGCGTGGGGAAAGCCTTGTGGTCGAGATTTTGTAGAAGGGTGTAGCGATATAAAGGTTTCGACTCTCACAGCTTGGACAAGTACGAGGCATAGGAGATCGAGCTGGAAACGCAGGAGTTCAAAGCCAATTGACAAAAGAGGGTTTCAAGAAGAATGTATAAATTCGTTTTAAAGAAGGGTCTATAGAACGGTTTGCAGAAGGGCTAGAACAGGTTTCATGGAACACCTTCTGATTGGTGGATGTAACGCAATGTAAGGACGGAAGGAAGCATGGACCGAATGAATGAATGAATGAATGAATGAATGAATGAATGAGTGGATGGACGGACGGACGGACGGACGGACGGACGGACGGATGGATGGATGGATGGATGAATCAATCAATCAACCAATCAATCAAACAATCAATCAGATCGGGTCAGATCAGATCAGATCAGATCAAATCAAATCAAACAAATCAATCAAGCAATGAACGAGTGAACGAATGAATGCATGCATGCACAAAACGGACGGACGGAGAGACGGACGGATGGATGGACGGACGAACCGACGGACGGATGGATGGATGCACGGTGGACGGATGGATCGGTGGACGGATTCACTCAGGCATGGATGTATGGTTGGATGCATGGATGAATGGATGAGGTGATGTTCGGCATGAGGTGATGTTCTACGCCCTCCTCACTGCACAGCTCTGAATTCTAAACGCTCTCGCGACAGTCGTTCTCTAGCTCTTCGTGGGCCAAGCTGCCGAGATCATCTCGTTCGTCGTTGTGCATAACCGCATGAAAACATTCTTCATGGCCTTCACCGCGTCGGGCGAGTCTTTGACAATAACGACCGAACCCCTCTTCGGCTGAAGCACGGTCCTGACGGAGTTTTGTATGGTGGGTGTGTGTCTGTGTGTGTCGAACTCTTCACTCCTCTTGGATTGGACATTTTTGCGAGCGCCGTGTGCGGCCCAGCTTCGATGTGGCACCATCCGCAGTGCTAACCTCATAGGCGTTGGGTCCTAAGTCCTTGGCCGGGTGGGAAACTTGCCTGGCCATTTCCACTTGTTCTCCTCAGCTCCACGTACAGCGGCCCTTGGACACTGTTTACGACTTCTGTGCCCAAGCCGCTCAAAGTGGCTTCAGGCCCAGCCTGCACATCGTGTACGGAAACCAACTGCATCCTGTGACATCCTGTCACTTGCCACACGCGCCTGAAAATTCATGGACGAAAGCTTGCCGACAAGGTACACCATCACCCCCTTCACAGTCGGGGCATGAAAGGAAAGTATCAAGGATGCGCGACTGCAAGCAGCAAGCAGATGGCGCAAAGCATAGGAGGCGCACGATGGTGCAGAGGTTCACAAGCGCGGACAGCACAGAGGCCATCCTGACTGCACCGCGAATAAGCATTAGGTGCTGCTGCAAAGACAGATACTGGAGCTCACACGCCAAGGCTCGACTCAAACGCCGACTTCTCCGGAATTACAATCTGTTGGCCTGCCGACCGAACAGAAGACATGGCGAAATGCTACTCCCGGAACCCCATCCCTGTGTTTAAGAGCTTCAATCGGGAACTCCGCACACCAGCCTCCGGCAGAGCAGGACGACAAGTCAGCAGAACCTGCCGAAGCAAATTCTGGCCCTCTACACACGGCCGGGCTGGAAGGTGCCTTGCCATATGCACATGGCCAAAGTGGCCGCCACCATTGCGGCGTGCATCTTGCGGCCTGCTTCAACTTTCTCTCCATACCCGTCCTCGCTACCCACACCATCTCTCGAGAAGCGCTCAGCCAGCTGAGCCCCGCGACCGGCACGTCCGCCTGGAGTGAGGCACACTTGGCGCGGCATCGCTTCGAGCCAAGTGTCTGCAAACCGGTGCCTGTGAACAAGCAAACCGCAAGCACCTGACTTGCATGACCAGCCGGAGCAGGCAGCACTGCAAAGCACGCACGATTCATTTATCGCACAGGTTTGCACAATCCTCTCAAAATATGTCGTCCATCGAGTTGAAACAAAATTCTTTACTGTCAGAAGTGGCTCACTGGATGGAGCAGTTGGATCCCTCCTTCCCCTCCTTCTCCTTGGCCTTTGTGTCGGCCTCCTCTGGAGCTTCAAGCGAGGTGACCGGACCCGGAGTCGGCACGGGAGCTGGTGCCAAAACAGGGGAGCCCGAGGCGGCGCCGGTTGCTGCCGGCGCTGGCGAAGGAACCAGCCCAGGGGAAGATGTTGCCGGAACGGCTGGAGCCGGTGCTGGTGGCGCTTCTTTAATAGCGGCTGGCTGGGCATGCCAGATGGTCGGAGATGCCGATGGCGTGTTGGAACTCAAAGCTGGGAACTGCTGGGAGCTTGCCACGTTTGCTGTGAAGGGGCTGACGGGGCCCACTTGGGTGATGCTTTGAGCAGGGGCAATGCTTACCTTTGACTCTGTCACTGGGGTGGGATCATAGTCCTGAACATCGCCGGCAGTACCCCAGACATAGGATCCTCCTGCACCTCCCTTCTTGGGCGCCTGGTGAACGGTCGAGATGGCCATCCGGGAACGTCGATCTTTCTCCGGGACTTCCTTCACGATGGTCCGCACCACTGGCGTTCCCGCTGGGACAGCAGGGTACGGATAGGAAACAGGGGCGGCATAGGCTGCCGGAGCTGCCTGCGCTGTGTATGATGCCGGTGCCATGCCTGTGATGACTCGAGTGGTTGTCACGGGCTGCGGGGCAGTAGCTTGGACCACGGGGGCCACTGAAGTCGCACTGGCGGCAGGGATCATTGCGGGCGCCGCCGTGGTTTGGTAGACTGGTCGGCCCCAGGCCGCAGCAGGAGCCTGAACCGGCCGACTTCCCAACGAGGGAAATTGCTGCGAGCTCGCCAAGTTCGCTGTGAACGGGGCTGCCGCAGCCTGTACTTGAACAGGAGCTGCTGCGGTGATCACCTTCACTGGTTGCTGCAGCCGACTGGCATCAAAGTCCATGGTGCCATCCTTCTCCGATCCCCAAGTGAAGGCTCCGCCAGCTCCGCCCTTCTTCGGGGGAGCATTAACTGTAGATACGGCCATGCGGGAGCGTCGATCCTTGTCCGCCTCCGCCATTTCGTCTGCCAGGCGGAATCTAGCCAGGTCTTACACACGCTTCGCTTTCGCGGCTTGGGAGAATGCAGCGGCAGTTGGAGACGAGTGCTGGCAGTCAGTACAGTTAGAGATCAAACCCGGAACGTACCACAGAGCAATCTTCCCAAGCTGCAGCTGCTACAAAAACCGAGGGCAGAACTGGGCTCCGCCCTGACTCGCTTGAGACGGCCGTTCCTCCGGAACGACGAAACATGCATGAACGTGCAACCAACTGTCAATATCTGTCGAGATGACTGAAAAGTACTGAAGAGGTCTCTCTCCTGCACCAGCAGCCCACGGTCACAGCATGTCCAGCTTCAGCTCCAGTGAGGACGCGATACACTGCATCCGACACGATGGGAAGCCTTGCGGCCGCATCTGACATGAGTGGCACGGTCTGGTCGGGTTGTCCGCAGAGCCCTAGCCAAGGCAGACGCAGCAGGTTCGCGCGGTCCAGGATGCGCGCGAAGGGCTTCCTCCGTCATTCATACGGCAAACAGCTTCCGTAGGATCAGGGCAGCATTGGAGGTTCTGTTTGCGACGACAGCGCTCAGACTCCTGGGTTGCAGTGGATGGATGACCAGGACATTCTTTCCAAACAGCAAGGTGCAGGCCTCGTCGCGACAGTGCGAGGCTGACGTATTAGTTATGGTGTCTGGCAGTTGCTCTGGTTGCAACGGCTTGTGCCCTCAGAGCCGTACTCTGCCTCAGAGCTTTTTGATTCCGCCAGTCCCGCGCAGGGAACGCAAGCTGCAAACAATTGACAGCAAGTCTTGGCCGTTGCTGCCAACGGGACCAGCAAGTCCAAGTAGTAATAGAAAACCGATTTTTTTGCATGGGCACAAAGCCGCCTGGCTTTAGGCGGCCTGGCATGTAGCATGTCAAAAGACTACCCCCATCAGCTCTCCAGAAATGATGCCTTCAGAACAAGCCTTGGCTGCACAAATCAAGATCACTTGCAGGGCTTCGAAAGCTTCGCTTCGCACGATGCTGGACAAAGGGTCCCTATACCAATCGCACAGGTGTGCATGGCATGTGGATTCACCGATGTGGGCATGGCATGTGGATTCACCGATGTAGTTTCAGCTTGGCTGCCAAACCAATTCCAGAACGGCTTTGCGCCCTCCAAACAGGAGCAGGAACAGCTTTGAGCTACGAACCGCTCTTTATGTTTGCGACTTGCCCTGCTGATGCTGGTGCCTCATCGGCTTCGTCCTTCCGTGCAATCCGGCCATCCTCCATGATCGCACCTACGAATAGAAACTGGAGGACAGCGACAGGCAATTCGCCATTGAAATCAGAGGTGAACTACCCAGGGCTTCGACGCTTCATTTCTTCAAAGTCCACATATCCATCGTGGTTGAAATCCATGTTGTCCAAGACCTACAGCCAAAGTCGAATCCTCTCACGACTGAGAGACCTGCTTCCCCCGTATGTAGTAAACTAAGTCAGCCGCTTCTTCCACATCTTCGTAGCTGCATTCGAAAGCGTCGCTTTGTAGTAAGTAACGAATCTCGCTTTCAGAAAGGTATCCGTTGCCATCAAAGTCCATCCTTGACGAAAGCTGCATTCAACTAGGTTGGATCACGCTGAGGGCTACGATGGTCATCAAACTGTGGCCAAGTAGCTCGTTGAACAACTCTGAGACCAGCCTGAAGATTCAGAGTTAATTTGCCGGGTAGACGGTGGCCGGATCAAGCAATGAATGGCATGAGCAGAGTCTGGAGATTCTCTAGATACCGATGTGCTGCGAACAAAAGGCTGCATGCTGCGCTTTTCCTTCTCCTGGCCGCACAGAACATGCGAAACACAAGAATCTGATGTCGGCTGGCAGCTGAAATTGCAGCTGTGAAGAAATGTGTTGCAGCTTTGGTATTGCAGCTTTAGCCTTGACAACTTCTTGCAGAAGGTTGTTGTACACGAGAAGCGGCCCCTGGAGCCAAGGCCACAAAAGCGCCATTCAAAGGAATTGAACTCAGACTGCCCGGAGCCTGCACGCAAGACATGTACTCGTTCAACACTTCCGCACTGACGCCATATCCACTTACCACTTCTGCAAACCTTCTCCGGGACGATTTCTGGCTTCTAGAAGACTGTGGACTGCAAGCACAGTCCAGTTCAAAGCCGAGAGTCTTTGTTGCAGGTACCGCCGAGCTCGCACCCTGGGATGCACGGAACGATGCATGCTTGCACAAAAAGAGTGGAAGTATGTGGACACGCCACGAAACACTAAAATCCGACAGCAACCCAAGAAGAATCCGTTGGAGACCCTCAGCTTAGTGACTTAGTGCCGTATCCTGAAGCGCTTGTAACACCACCCAGTGGCTCGAAGTCCGCTGCCAAAGCTGGCGACCTCATCTAATCTGGTTCGGAGCGCCCTCCTTGGCTGCAAGTTGCAAGTCAACCATGCTTCAAGGCACCATCAAATGACTCAGGACGTGGTGCAGATCGCAGAGGTTGCACTGCTCGCAGAGTTCGTTTGTGAGGTCGTCCCTCATTTAGGAAGGTCTAAATTCTGACTCGAAGATCCAAGAGTAGTCACGGCTTCCGGCCTGCAGACAGCTTCCCTGGATTTGCCTACCTCAGCTCAAATTGAGTCTCAGGTTGTAGCTCGAGATGCAAGCAGTAGTTCTGCTTCTGGCTTCAAGCAGCAAGTCAACAATGCCACAGAAACAAAAAACACCAGATGGCCAGTTGAGACCGCCACATCCTGTGGTGCATGCAGCCCGGGCACTAAGCGGGCGAGGTTTGCTTTGGGCAGCGGGGCATCTGTGTCCGACTGGAACCATGGGTCCTGTTCATGGTATATTGCCACAATACTACAACCCAAAAGCCATGTGCGTATCGTGGTGATTGCAATCAGCAGCGCAGCTCCACAAGCAATGCAGCAGGTCGCGGGCGCAGAGCTCGCCTGTGCGATGGCCAACTCAAATTCAAAAGGCTGGGAGTCACACCCCAAAACCGGCGGTTCAAGAGACGCTGAAGCATGCATGTTGAGCTATTTGCTGTTTCTGAAGCATCGCCGCGACAATGCCACCCAGCTGTCCTCAGAAACAGATGAAGGACAGGCTTCAGCGGCAATGTAACCGAAGCACCAGTGCAACCTGGCACAACCGTGAGCCAGGATACGCCACTGCTGTGGGAACTCTTCCCATGGAGGCGGAGAATCGATGGTGAGCTTGGCGACTGCTTTCAAGTCCTTAATGTATCGGTACCAGAAGCACCAGGTGCATCGTGCCGACTGACCAAATGTTATCTTGACCAAGGTTCAGCGCCCTCTTGAAAAATCCCTTTATGGCTGCCGTCGGACGAAGGAACACGCCCAGAGAGCATCTGGAAGAAGACCACCTCGGTCAGCTTCAGCTTCCAAGAAGCGGAGCCTTCATGAAACAAAAGTTCTGTCAAGGAACTCCAAGGCTAAAAATGTCCCCTTGAGGATACCAGACCTGGCGGCTGCCCAAATAGTGACCAACAGTGCCAGAGATTGTCCACACTCGCGTCGGTGAAGGATCAAGCACGCAGGGCGCACGTACTCCTTCCACGTCTCCGGCGGAATGTAACCCGGCCTTATTTGGCTCGCAAATAACAGAATTACTTCTGATGCGGCGTCAAGTCAGCACACTACACCAAGCGACCAGCGTGCCGCAAATATTTTGGAGCTTTTTGGCAAAAGCCTGGGACAAGCCGAAATCGATGTACACCACCTTCGGGCCTCGGGCTGATGCTGCACACGCGCAGGTCCGAACCTACGCACCCCATCGCAACAAAGTCTTTGGTCCGGCCCCACGTGTGATTTAGCAACGTGTCTGTTTCACAGCTACTGCCAAGCCAAGGCTGGCTTGAGTCCCCTTCCGGCAGAGTGCCGTCCCACCAGCCGCTTCTGTGACACTGCTCTCATCCCCAAGATTCGCATGGTCATCAACACGGTGACACTGTAGATCAGTATGATCAGTAGATCAAGCGATGAGAGCTGACATTCGTTGCAAGAAGGATATAGAAGGATTGTGCTTGGTACTAGGACCCTGTCCATGCCGGCAGGGGTGCTAATTGCTTAGAGTGCCACGAGGAGGACGAGCCAAACGTTCAACGACACCCGGCAATTGATGCAGCTCGCACCCGAGATGCAACATCTCCGCCGCAACGGGAAAGTTGAGGTTACGATCATCGTACCCAGACGGCAGGCTTTGCATCACAATCACAATCTAGCGTTGAGCCCTGATCGTGGACGCTGCAACACAACCATGCAGGCGGTGTTCAGCTGGGAAGACTAAAACATGCGAGGCTTCACCAAATTCCAAATACACTACTTCACTACATTGATGAAGGGGCTGACACTCTTGTGGACACCTGCCGGCTGACAACAACGGCTTTGCAACCGCGCTTGGGGATGCCCAATGAACTCAGTCGAGCTCACTACGGTCTTGTTTACCGACCTGCTTAGGCGAGGAAGGGGAGCCCCGAGGATAACTGGAAGGGAGCAGACGAAGACTATCTTGCCGGCTTCCGCCTACTCGCAGCAGATGAACCTTTGTCCCGAAACTCTCACTAGGCTGTAGGCTCTCACCAGGCTGTGAAAAGCTTGGCTTGCGACTTGAATAATCAGAGGCGGACTTTATCATCAGGTTCGGCTCCTGCTGTCTAAACGAACACTGGTTCTTGCATGTCGCGACTGGCTCTGAGTGGGCAGTTCTCTGCAGACTTCACTAAGCTGTACGCCTTAATGTCGCAGTGCATCTGAGCACACTTGTGCCTGCAGCGCAGAGATGCCGACTCCTAAATAAGAAGCGTCTCTCCATCAACTTTACCCTGGCGCCTGCAGCCTGGGGCCCGCACAGGTAGTCCAGCCCACTCACGCACTGCCGGAAGAGAGCGCGCCACCACCGCTCGGACATGTTGATACCCTGTGCATGGGCCTGGTGGAACACACAAAGTGGACATCGCTGAAGAAGACGAAAGGCATCGTGCATGGCCTTGTGGGCAAGCTTCGTCCAATCACCACCGAAGTATGGCTCATTGACCTCGGAGCGACAAGGAATTCGGCTCCAGCGGGAGGGCATATTATGAAAACCAGGGACCAGGTAGTAGAAGTCCAAATCCTGGAAGGTCTCGTAGGTCTTGGCGACGAACCTGGTGTAATTTCCATGTCTACTTGCCCACGAGCCGCTGGGGCGTTAAGTGCACCAACTGAGACCGGAGCTCACTTTTGAACAGGTTCATTCGTGAAAACTCGTCCACCAACTCATGAATGCTTCCTTGGCATCAGCTCGCCACTGCGTGCAGGAGGGCTCCACACCATTTGCACAAGCTCCTGACCAGCATTGCCGTCCTGCATGGATGTCCGCTACACTACTCGACAAGGTGAAAGGCAAAGCCTGCCAAGCTTGTGGCCTTCTTCGAGTAGAACTTGATGCAGTACTCTTTGTCGTCTCCTAAGCAGTCAGAAATCTGACATCGGAAGAGGAAGAAGAGCAGCGGTGCAGGCTGAGCATGGCCATCCCAGCAGCCGTCCCTGCAGGTGAAGAAACCTCCACTCGAGCTCCTCAGGGCCAGTAACCAGAAAGGGCACCTTCACACGAGTACCGCTTGTACCTCCCTCTGGGGGGCCGACTTGGTCGCCAGGTACATGACCCCTTGACCTGCACCGAACCGGACGTGCCTCTACGGCCGATGCTTCGAATCCCACCTCCGCGGCCGAGTTCGCGGGTTACCTCAGTCAGGTAGAAAAGCAGCGAACCGCAAGAGGAACGTCCCAACTCGCAGCTTGACCGGGAGGACGGCGTAGTAACCTGCTTCTCTCGGCGTCTTGTAAGGGACCATCCGGTCGTCGTCCTGTCAGGGATGCCTGCTTGAAATTCCTCCACCTGTCTGCCCACCGGCTTCTTCTGTTCGGTTCTCTAGTCATTCCAGCTCCCTTTCCTATGCCCGTTCTGTTGCACTCGCTCTTTGGTCTTTGCGAACCGGCCTCGGGTTTGCCACCGGAGGTCGCTCGCCTCTGCTTGAGAATGCCTCGGGCCAAGCCACGATTCCGGTTCCAGGCACCGCTGGGCCAGTTCCATGTTTGGCTCAGCCACTGCGCACCATGCAGATGGTTTCCTCTTGGTTCAAGCGTGCATCGCCATTGAAGTCGAACCTTACACTTCCGCTAGCCGGCTAGCCGATCATCGGACAGGATGCATGCCGAGGGCCCAGCTGGTAAAATTGCGTCTCTAGGTCAAAGAAAAAATTCTGGTGGATCTTGAGCGTGTTGGACAAACTCAGGCTTGTGCAATCCAAAGGTGCCATCTCATGGGACGTGCACTCCATGCCGATGCTCTAAGAAGAGCGCTCGGACACCAGGGCCTTCGCACCCGCAAGATCAAGGACATGCTCTCCATCCATATCCTTTCCTGCAAAACGAAATCAAGACACTGCCGTGGATCCGTGCATATCAGCACAACCCCACCTGCCTTTGGCATGCTTTCGGAAAAGAACTCGCGTGTTCGACTTCTCACTGCCGGTATGCTTCAGAAAAGCATCCACTGTCTTGTACGCACCCTCCTGGTTGCAAGATACGCGGTAGTTTCGCAAACTGCAAGCGATGGTTGCGTAGTTGGGCGTAGTTCTGAACTCTGGCAATCTGTGCTGTGCCGTCCTTGAGAGGGGGTGGCAGCGAATGCCACTGCTTTTCAAACTTCTGCCTCGCCAGAGAACACGACGGCAGGGGAGACAGGGAAAGGCAGAGGGTTCTACACGCAGCCTAAAGGAAGTGCCGAACGTCATCCGTCGAAGCGGCGGAGAATTGCGGAAACCTCGCAGTTGCTGCCGGTGCTGCACTGCACTCGCATGCTACCATGCAGGTCCGCAGAGAACAGGGCCAAAGGCTGCTTGCTGCTGAGATGCCGCTTGGTTCCCAGGATTGTGTCTATCAGCTTTTTCATGTGACTGGCCCAGATGGCTCAAAATGGCTGGGGAAAATCAGGCATGCAAGCAAGCAAGGACTTCGCGAACAGGGCTGGTCTTATCTCGCGTTGAAAAACTTGAGCTTGGAGCATGGAGCAAATGCTCGTCTGCTGCGCTGTGCCTGGAATCGGCCGAGCTGGACTGCGCTGGAAGAAAGAGGCCACAAGTGCCACAAGCACAAGTCACACGTAACTGAGCGGCAGAGCACTGTAACTTGTGCTCCACGAGCTGCGGCTGCTTTTGCCGAATCCCGGAGCGATTGAGAGAGATCCTGTCCACAGCAGAACACGGTCGTCTTGCAGTCCATTCAGAAATAGCACAAGAAACCCTGACCACCTGCAGATCTCGCGGCGTCTCTGCCGGGGGCCTGGCAACTACAAGCACGCTTCTCTATTCTTTGCAAACTTCCCCTTTGCATCCTCCAAGCTGTCCCAGTTTTCAACCACTCTTTCTTGCTTCGCTGTTGACGTGGGAATGCAAGGGCCAGAGCTCCCTACCCAAGCGTACAAGCATGCGAGAGGTCTGAAGGTCGTTTGCTCGGAGACCAATACTGGATGCAGGCACCCACACCCAGCAAACCTGTCTGCAAACCCTCTCCCACCGGTAGCAGAAGCATAGCAGAGGAGGCCCCGTGCTATGCTTAATCTCCGCCTCAACAGCGCTTCTGGTAGGTTTGCCTCGGATGGAGCGCGGCAGATAACTCCGCGAAGCTGGGGGACGGAGGGAGCGAGCCTGTGGGTTCAGCGCCAACACACCATCCGCGATGAGCCCGCCATGAAGCACTGCCTGCATGCAAGAGAGAAAGAGATGATTTGCTGCTGAGACTCGGGAGATAAGCTCTCGGCAGCAAAACCACCCATAGAAGCACCGACCTCGAGGCATTTCGAGAATCGGCGGGTTGATAAGGTGAAAGCTTCGAGGAGTTCTATCAGGGGCCCTACGCAAAGCATTTTCGAGTAGCGAGGCCGCAATTCCCGCAAGACAGTTTCCACGGCGGGACCTTTACAAGCCAACAGCTGCACTGCAACAGAGTCGCACCGACAAGGATCCAACGATCTTCCGCATACCAGCGCATGCGATGATCTACAGCCGTCAGCCTTAGTGGCACAGCTTTTTCGGGTAAGTTGTTAGTTTGGCTTTTGCTCCTACTCTTCAAGCTGGTCACACATCGAAGTCCGGAAGTGGCAGAGCCTGACACTCACCCTCCTCGGCAAAGGCCGGAGCACTGTAGACACATAGCTCATGCGGCTCATGCCCCCGGACTCGCCTGTTTCTCATCTTCCGATGCAACACAAGGGCTCCCAGTCCAGAACCTTACCATCGACTTCCCACAGAATGGCACGCATCATGCAAAATCGCTTCTGCGCCAAGTCACATCGACATTTTCCGATCAAAGTCACTGCCGCCGTCTGCCTGTTGCACTCGCAAACGCCTTGCTTTCGCAAAGGGCGACTCTTTACGGCCTCCAGTAGATCAGACAGATCTGCTGAAGCTTGTGGCAGCGGGGTGACCTGCCAGCAACACATCATCACAGCGGCAAGGGCTGGCGTGGCAATCCAGGCCTTCCCTTTCTCAAGCAGGCGCCGGAGGAATCCCAACCACTCGGGCTCGCCCTGAGTCGAGTACGGTTTCCTCTTTCTCTGAAGTTCTTTGGAAAAATCTGCTGCTGGTGGCGCCTGCGATGCTGCGAAAGCCACGATCAGCAGCTTCGCTGGCTGAGCGACCTGGCACGAGGATACCACACACTGAACAGCTTCACAATACTAGCTGACGCAGAAAACAGGGATCGGCAGGAGAGGAGTTGTAGTTCCTTGTTATGCAAAGGAACAAAAGCCCTCACCACCCGCGATGGCAGATGTCTCAGCGTCGCTCCTCTCTATATCGAGACTTAGCCTGGAAAAGGGAAGAAAGGGCTGCAATGGGAATGCATGGCGTACTGCCAGGATCAAACGTCTGACTTTTTAGAAAGAAAAATCCGACCTGCTCAGGGATGAAAAATCTGACCTGCTACAAGGACAAGGCACAGATCTAAACCGCTGTATGCCATGCTCGCATCAGTGCAAAGGGCGCTTTAGAAAACAAAAAAATGGCGGGTCGTCTTAAACAGAACTTGCGCCGGAGCGACAGGGTCAGCAGGCCCTCCAGGCTCTGCCACTGATTTCACCCCTGGCCTCCTCAACGACTCGATATGCTGGGGCCGCTTCGATTTGCGTTCTATCTCTGTCAAGGAGCCGTCGAAGCTGCGATGCCCTTGTCAGCTTGAAGCTGATCTGGCCCTGCGCTGGCAAAACCTGCAGCCACGCGGGAGTCCCAGCGGGAGGCGCCAGGAAAGGTCTCAGGACACCGCGGTTCCAACGGAAACCGCTGCGGGCAGCTCTTCGAAGCCCTGGGCAGCCGAAGGCAATGCAGTGCTTCAGCATGCAGGCGGTGCGGCCCTGGGCCAAGTGCCGAAGGCGAAGCTGCGGCAGCCTCCCGCACCTCCAAGGAGCTGCATGGTACATTTCCACGCACGATCGCCATGCTCTCGCACCTGTTGGGTGTCCAAGCCAAGAGTCTTCAGGGTGGACCTGAAGACGGCGAGAGCTCCCAACGCAGTTTGCCCTACAAGCGTGGAGCTCCGCCTGGGCACCGCCTCGATCAGAGACGAAACCACCGACGGCTTCAAAGGGTTTCCCTCGAGAAGGAGCCTGGCTCGCAGCTCGGCACATGATGTCGCATGGCCCAACGAGACGAGAGAAGCTTGCCTTGTCAAGCCCCGGCAGCCTGTAGGCATCATTGAGCTTTGGATGCAGCATGCCAATATATGCCAATGTCAGTGATGAGGATTTGTGTAGTTGTCTGACGGTGCTTCACACATCTCTCTCTCACTCTCTCTGTCTCTCTTGTCTTTCTGCGAGTCCCTAGATTCACTAAGCCACTAAGCCAACCTGTGATGAGATCGCTGGACAACTCGGTCAAGCAGTTCCTTGGGAACAGGCCCGAATGGGCGAAGCGACTCCACCGTGAATACAAACCAAGCCCAAGCGCCCGTACGCCAGCAGCCACTCCAAGCCTGCAAAGCTGCACGATTCTGCAGAAGTTGTCAACGGACTGTTGCTCTCTGCGGCGACTCGCTAGCCGCTAGCCAGCCTTGGAGACTGGAGATGCCATCTGGCAAAGACTTCAAGCCTGCGAGGCTGCTTCTGCGCTCCAGAGCCACCCACGGCACTGCTAAACCTTGACGAGGCCGGAACGATTCTCGGCAACGGACAAGATCCGGAGGTTGGTCATGCACGCGACCTGTCATTCAACAAGTGCTGAAGTGCGAGCACTTCTGGGAACCAGCCACTTTCTAGATTTGCCAGGCCTCGTCTGGCAAATGTTCTAGCTGGTTTCCCATCACCTGTGCGGAAAGGCAAGTCACGTCGCGCCGGTGTGGCGCCCGACTCCATGTTTCTCGGAGGCTTTCAAAGGCCTTCAGGGTCACAAGGTTGTGAAACACCGGCGATCCCAGAGAAGTTGTGATGGTGTGGATCTGGTTCCCATGAACCTCAAGCCGCTGCATGTGAGGTACCAGGGGGACCTCCTTGATCTTGTTGCCCGGCGCAGTCAGGAGTACCAGCTTCGGAGAAGTCAGTTGGGGCAGTCTCTCGATCTTGTTAGCATCAAGGCACAGCTCTTGCAGCTTTGGCAGGGCACCAACCGATTCGGGCAAAGCCGTAAGGAAGTTCCCGTTGAGGTACAGGTGCGTAAGCCCGGTCAATAGGCCCAGCTCTGGAGGAAGTTCCGTTAGACTGTTGGAAATGAGGCAGAGGGTGTCCAGCGAGCGCACAAATCCGATCTCGCTCGGCAGCTTGGCGAACTCTGTGGAAGCAGACCTTACACAAGCCGAGCGGGCATCTTGGGGCCACAGTCAGTCAGGCATGGGCCTGAACATCGCCCCTGAAAATGCTCGGCTGAGGAAGTACGGGTGGCTGCTACAACCTGTGTCCTCAGCAACTTTTACGCCTCTTCAAGAGAGTCGGTTCCAATC